TACGTGTGGCCCCGTGAAAGTTTTTTACGGGTAAATTAATATCTCGGGAACCACGGAATCTAGAAGGCTAAAATGTTAGGGTAATGACTTCCTGCCCACGCTCAATCTTGCCCATTCAAATTCAGCCTTCTCGCGCTCCTGAGTATCACCTACGGCCTCGTGAAGATTTTGGCGGGTAAACTATTAACTCGGAAATCACCGAAAGATATTCACCTTTCAAGATGTTTCGAATTCAGCTTTCATGCACCGGTGCGTGAAATTTTTAACTGTTTTCTAATGTTTGAACTATTTTTGCATAGACAAAAGTACAAAGCAGTAAAAATCATTAATAGGCGATCGTTCGATGGGCTGAATTGCACAAGACGCATGATCGCACCAGCTAGTCTGGTGCGCATTGCTGTCTATTACTTGTAATATCTATTCAAAGTTCAATTCTTCAGGTACATGGCGGTAACTTTTCTAGTTGCTTCTTACGGCAGAAGTGTTTTTGGCGATCCTGACATTTATCCCGTCACGTAAAAGGGTTGCCAGCTTTCCTTTCCCCCCAAGGCTTCAGCAGTTTTTTCTGACTACCAGCCCCTCTCGACGTTCGCTACTGCTAGTTAGGCCACGATGGGCACCTCAACTCAGCTTCGGTAGCAATGGCATCATGCCAAAAAGCGTATTTTATGCTTCGAGGTCCTGCAGGCTTCATTAATTAATACGCTGTGATCACTGGGTTTGCATTCATCTATTGTTGTTGGTGGGGAGTGTGAACAGTGAATCTGTTTTGAGAAGGTTCCAGTGGCCGAGGCATGGCCGATATTGTTGGTCCGTTACGTCCATCTGATAGCTGGTCAACCACGGAAGTGCGCTCGTTGCAACACTCACACGTCTGGACAATTCGTGGTTTCTCGCAATGCGAGTGTCGCTATCTCGAAACATCCGTCAAAATCAAGGAAACGGTTTGTTCTTCGGATATATTTCTCCTCCAATGGCAAATTCACATGCACTCATTACTTTTTCGAAAAGTTGCGTTGAGCAGATGGGGACAGCTGAAAATCGTTTTGCTGTGAAAAAGACATTCGTCCAGGATGTTGATGCAAAAAAATTTTAACAAACTTTGTACCAGCCGCTTTTTTCCTTTGTTTCCTCAAAATTTTCGAAGAGAATTTTGTAGACAAGTTTGTAAAATTCTGTAAATGATATTTCGTTTCTTGGCACTCTTCCAGAAGGTCCTAATTCGATTCCGCCAATGGAAAAGCAGCCAGTCTGCTTACAAAACCTTCATTCGTCTCGAAATAAATTCCTATCAGTGCATGTCAGAGTGCCAAATCTGCTTGTTTCCAAGCATTCTCACAATCGGCCGGGTGGTTGCTATTGGCATTGCTACCACTTTAGGCTATTTTTTTGTGCTTCTGCCTCTTAGGGAGAGTGAATGTGGAGGGAGTTTGGACTCAGATTATCAAGATTCGCAATGTGAGTGGATATACGATGCCATTACGATGCATGTTCACATCGGGCACAGCTCTGTCAAGCCGTTCTTTCTTGTCTTATGGCATGCGTTAAATTCCAGTTAGATTGTGGTGTGTGTATGTATGTATGTATGTATGTATGTATGTATGTATGTATGTATGTATGTATGTATGTATGTTGTGTATGTATGTATGTATGTATGTATGTATGTATGTATGTATGTATGTATGTATGTATGTTTGTTATGTGTATCTATTAATTTGTGTTTGTTTGCAGCCAGTTCCTACGAATACGCTCGATGGCAATCAGCTGACATTCCGAATCCGACTTCATCCACAAGGCAACAAGGAATCAAACAAAGACTTTAGTTTTTTCCAGGTCTTTCGCTTCTCTTTGATAATTTTAAGTCTCACAAGCTTCAGGCCTTTACTGTTTCATCTCGAAGCAATAGCCGTGTGCCGGCCCTCATCTTTCTGATGGGTCATCGGTTTCTCATGGAAAGTAAATTGCGAATGATTTCTTATTTTTTGTTAATTTTTATTAAGCAGTGAGTTGACCAGTGATGTATTTGCAGTAGCCTTCAGTTGTGGATCACCTGTCCTGCACTGATCCACACAAACAACCCC